GTGTGCCTAGCGGGATTCGAACTCGAGACCTCACACTAAGCATGGTAACCTCGCAACCAGTTAAGCTGGAGTGCTTGGTTGCCTTTTCTTGTCTAATAGTAGTATCAATTTAGAACACGTATTTATTTCAACATTACTACACCCGTAGCTAGCTATTCTTCACATGTTTGGTCTGAAATTTGATGGTCTGGTCTAGTCTGATCTGGTCTGGTCTAGTCTGAACTGGTCTGGTCTGGTCTGGTAAACGTCTGGTCTCTGTGTATTTTATAACTATCCAAGTCTGGTCTGGTCTGTTCTGTTTAAGTCTGGTCTGGTCTGATCTGGTCTGTTTAAGTCTGGTCTGGTTTGATCTGGTCTGGTCTGGGACTGAAAACAGTCCAAAAGAAAACATCCCTAATGCTAAAGTGCTATAGGCTTTATAAAATATAAATAGTTGCTACTAACTTTATGCATATATGCTAATTTAAAATGCTATATAACCATTTCCCCCAAAAAATATTTACTAATATTTATGTGGTTGTCTCTCATGCCATATGTGTATTGTGCAAATTGCAACATTAGAGACGCTCTTACAAGTAAACTTGTCCTATATTTTTAAGGATTTAGGGGTTTATCATAAGATATGAGATCAACTTAATTATATTTATAGGATATAAGTCACCGTATAAGGTTTTAGAATCTGGGCTAGCTAATATGAAGTGTTATCCCTATTAGGGGTGGATTTTTTTTTTTTTTTTTTCAGAATTGGGAGTTTGGACTTCCGGTCCTAACTCCTAAGGCCGACAATCCCAATCCAGTCAAGTCCAACTTTTTTTCAAAAAAAAAAAAATTGTATTTTCTCATTAAAATACACGCGGTTGACATTATACGTACCGCTGTGTATAAGTAGATTGTAGGTAATAATAATAAGGTATAAATGTATAATAATGATCAAAGAATAATGTTGACACCACTAATTAATTAAATAAATTATATAATTTCATTGTCATGATTAATTAAAATTCCTTATTGGGAATAGGGCTTTATTGGGATTTTAATGTTAGGATCAGGATTGAATCGCGATTTTGGCAATAGATCATAGTCCCTCCCGTAATCTATATACTACCTCCGTTCCATAATGGTTGTCTCATTTCAATTTGGCACGGTTATTAATAAAATGATTTAAAAACAAAAGTTGTGGTTAAGATTTGAGTAGAAAGAAGTGAAATGATATGAACCATAAACGCCTTACCAAAAAGGGAAACATGACATCCATTTTGAGACAACCCAAAAAGGAAAGTAGGACAACCAAAATGGGACGGAGGGAGTAGTATATACTACATATTAGTAAGTGTACAAGGGACGAAGCTGATGAAGTCCTTCAGTGACCAAGGCCTAACGATAGAATGAATTTAATGGTCATTGTTAGAAAAGTAGTTCTATAAATTAATATTATGGTCATTTTCGGAGCTATACAATATATATAATATGCAAAGGACACATATTTATTTTAATAGGACTAACTCCTAATATATTGTACTTCGTGAGATGAACGTTTTCGTATATTATTTGTACAAAATAATTTTGAAATGAATGAGAAATTGTCTCCTAAAAGATAATTGTGGAATTATATCTCACAGCATGCACCGCCGCCATCCGGCTGGTGGGGTCAGGTTTCGGGTTTGGGTCTTGATCCACTTGCCACGTGTGGCTTAAAGAAAATTTCCTATATTTGTATTCTTTGACATAATGGTTGATCATATATTACTTGGCAAATTAAAGAGTCAACTTTGAAGAAAGGTCACAACCGCTATTTTAAAGGTAACTTTTGGGAATAGAGTCTCTATAAATTCTCATGTTTGCCTACGTTTCTAATTAATCCGAAATTCAGAAATTTCAACTCTCTCTTTTCCGTTCAATCCTCCATTATATTAGTGTTGCATCCATCTTCGAGTTTGCGGTGTCCTTCAGGAATGTAGAAATCAGTTAATCATGGAAAGCGATTGCTACTAGAGTTGTGGGCAATTTTGTCTAAGGGAAACAACGATTCGTTGGGCTCGATTTCATTTAAGTAATTCTTTTTACTTCAAATTATTTATTTATTGCATGCAGATTTATGAATTTTCAATAACAGTCATCATACATAAATTTATGCCCATATACTACGTATAACAGTGTTAAATAATTAGAATTGTTGAATATTATATACTTCGTATGTGGGTTTGAGAGAGCGAAGCACACATACATGTAGATTGTAGACACATAAAATATAGTATTCCAATTCAATTCACAAAATATAGTAATTCAATTTAAAAATCATATTTAGTACGTTGATATTAATTTATTTGAACAATGGGGTTCTATCTGTCTGCATAGAGATGAGTACATTTTATGGTATTTATTCATGGTTTGCCCTAAAAATTAAACACAAACACAAGCACATATCACATACTCCGTATATAAAAGTTAAATACTTAAATGTACGTACTATATCCAGGAATCGGTGATGCCGTGAATCTCACTCGTCAAGAAACAATCAAGGATAAGTGGAGGATAGACTACCATGGAGGTCATCTTTACTATCTCCGTCGAGCCATTTGGTTAGTCCATCATCTTAGATACATTAAAAATACATAGCTGATTTATGTTAGTCATATTGTTCTCTTGGAGTGCTCTTCCGGTAAGGAATTCCTGACCGGAACCGCCGTCCGGACGGCGGCGTTTGGCCGCCTTCCGGGTGGAATTTTTCAATGAAATTTTTATGACATGTTCTCCATCAAGTCTAGTTTATCCACAAAAAACTTCAGCCAAAAACTCATTCGGGAAGGTCATCAAATGATTTTTGCAAGTTAACTGGTCCGGAAAATACATATTCCGGACCAGTTAACTTGCAAAAATCATTTGACGACCTTCCCGATTGATTTTTTGGCTGAAGTTTTTTGTGGATAAACTAGACTTGATGGAGAACATTCCATAAAAATTTCATCAAAAAATTCCACCAGGAAGGCGGCCAAACGCCGCCGTCCGGACGGCGGTTCCTGTCCGGAATTCCGGACATGAACTTTTGTCTGTTCTCTTGTAAAATGATTTATCTGAATATCTCCACTTCATTATCCTTCCCTCCCCTCTTCTTCCTAGCTGATGAGAAAGAATGTGGCTGTGTCGGATTTTGGAAGTGAATTTGGCGGATATTAGAACTTTTGCTTTTTAGTTTTCAAACAGTCCCCCATAAAAGTAGCCAGAAAATCAATTTTAATTTTACTTATTTTGATTATTACACAATTCAAATCGAACTCAATTGAAGCCACGAGAGTCAAAGAAAGGACTTGGGCATCGAATCAAGTAGCCTTTTCACCAAATCCGCTTCCTATATCCAATTCTTTTTTGTACCAGCCAGGCATCCCACTATATACCTAGATTTTGTGAGAATGTCAATGACTACAAGGTCAGAGTGAAAAATTAATTACTTTAGTCATTCGTAAACAACTTAGATGTGAGACTAATTAATAGCAATATTTGCACGATGATAATGAAAGATAGAGTATATGAGAAAACTACTGAGGTATGACTCAAAGAGACTGTGATTTCTAAAATATGATTAAAGAGTTTTTATTTGGCGTATTTTGACTTTGCACCCCACTTTTTTGGGTGATATTGGACTTTGCACCCCGTTTTCAAAACTTTTAAACTTTGCACTCTGTTTCCCTTAAAATGTCTTTGCCTTTGTACCCCAATCAGGAACTTTTCTTCACAAAATATTGTATGATAGGGTGCAAAGTCTAAAAGTTTTGAAAATAGGGTTTTTATTTATTAAATAATACTCCCTCCGTCCATTAAGAGATTCCAATTACGATTTACGATGCTTGACTGACGATAAAGCAACTTAATCTCTGTTCACACTCTGATTATTTTTAGTAAATAAAATCTACATATTTAGAAACTACATTAAAACCGCTACAAAGTCTGATAAAAAAAATGTAAGTTTGATAAAAATTTGATATGTAAAACAAAAGATTAAGAATGATTTATGTTGACCATGAGAATAGTGGACGGGAACCTTTAAATGGGATGAAGGGAGGAGTATTTTATACGTATGGTATGAATTTTGATCCTATTCTTTTCTTTTGAATTCAATTATTACTCATATAGTGTGACATATTAAGTAAGTATATATATGAATATTTTAGTGGTTGATGAATGAATTTGTTGTCATGCATGTAGTGAGTACAAGGTCAGGGTGAAAGGCTATTTTGTTTGGACATTAACAGATAACCTTGAATGGGCAAACGGATTTAGTGTCAGAATGGGGTTGTATAGTGTCGACCGCAGCAGCAAAGAATTGACAAGAACTCCAAAAGGGTCAGCCGAGAGGTTTCATTACTTCCTGATGAAACGTGACCGTCAGGGTAATGGCGGCGTCGCTCCTATTCCTCTGGAAGATACATGCTACATACCTATACCAATAAGACCCCCACCCCCAGTGGTGGCTGCCAACGGTACCAAGGTTGCACATGATGAGCTATAATAAAATTATAGCTTGTATTTTTACTATTGTACCCAAAAATAAGTTGTTAAATTTCTGTCCATTCCACCTGCATGGTTTGCTTCACACTACAAAAAAATAACGAGTTTGGAACAGATTTAGCACAAATCTTTTCCAAAGATTTGGTAAAGCCATGGCATTTTTTTTCCAGTATATGTACTTTCACTGTTAGGTATTATGTGTATGTGTATGTGTATGTGTATGTGTATGTGTATGTGTATGTGTATGTGTATGTGCATGTGTATGTGTATGTGCATGTGCATGTGCATGTGTGTCATGCCCCAGACCGACCCGGTAGCGTCAACAACTGCCGCACAACCCTACGAGAGTACCCTTCTTGGTTCTCACGTCAGATCGTGCAAGGCATTTAATATCATTACACTAAGTAATTCCATATGAAGATAAGAATAGCTTATAGAGCAGATGTTTCATGATACAACATAAAAGTAATTGGGTAAATGTTTGATAAAATTAAGTGACATAGAGGCAAACAGGCCCCGAGTAGTGTTTTTATGATGAAGGATAGTCTCATGAGCATCTAATAAAATAATATATGATTCCCGAGCTATACGAACCAAACAAGCCTCGGCGGATCCAAAGGAGAGATATGACTGAAGTCATCTACAAAGTTTCTTTGACTTACAAATCTGTGAGAGGTCAGCTTGTGATACTGTCAAGATCCTCCTACTCAGTCTACACACCGTCTCACCATAATGGTTTTGTAAACAGGTTTATAGTTATATCATAAGTCATATAACAATCAACCACATAGCCTATTCCAGGTAATTATGTAAAATACTTAGCGTATATGTGTTGGGGAATTATTCTCGCCACCCGCACGGGCCGACATCTTCCAGCGAACCGCTTCTTCTTCCTTCCTATCCGGAAACTTCCAACGGCAAGTCTGAGTGTGGTTGTCGCCTCTTCTGCTCTCTTCCAGAACTAGGTCCTGCACATGAAAATAACAAGAAGGACAATGACTCGAGACGCATTAGACGCTGTCCTTAAGAAAGTATTTCCGGTGGCCGGAAATCTTTCCCCAGGATATAACGAGCCCATCGGCGAATAGCCGGACACAAAACTACGAGGATAGAAAATTCATTTTGTAATCCAGCGGTGTTTTGTTTTTTAAAGATAATAATATATATGGGGGTGTTTATATACTTCGTATAACTCCATAGAAGAAGAGTAAACAAAATATGTCAAGGAGTATATTAATTAGTATGAGTATACGAAGTATATAAAAGAAGAAAGCTTAAGAGCCTAGCTCCCTTCTATTGCTGCGTTGTAGAAGTTTTATAAGGAAAAGATAGGTTTGTTATTGATCCTAAATAAATGGAGATAAAGAAGCTCAACCAAGTTATGTTGGTCAACAACCATGCACGTTAGAGAGTGAGATAATATCCATTTGGATAATAAAAAGCAAAGATAATTAAAAACTAAAATGCCACCACGTTAAGGAAAGGTTCGGCCAAAATAAATTAAATACGTTATCCATTTACAATTAAATTTGTTTATTTGAAATACACTAATTTTCCAACAATCCCCCACATATTTCAAATAAACATTTGAGGTTAAAATAATTTTGAAAAACTGCAATTTAGAAAATCTGCTGGATTAACGGGAATGAGACTTTAAGTCTGGAGTCCGAAGACTATGAACCAAACCGAGACGATTAAGTCTTTACAAACCGAGCTTCTGGTGAAACATATAGTTTCTATGAACCAGTAAGCTACTATGGTAAGTCAGGGTCTTAATGGTCATGTTTCACCCCCCACAATTCCTCGCGTTAACGCCGTGGTGCGCTTTTCGGCCGTGCGCGTGCCTGGTGTTCGTGAGTGCTCTAGAAGCGTTGTCATGCTTCATGGAGGCGGCCACACCTCACACTCATATAGGTGACCTCATCAAGTGTGTTCTGCACTTAACACACCAACCATAAGGCTATGAAAATCATTAAGAGTTTTGGCTCAGCCTCACAGCAAATGCAGTCTAGCCTCACCCTAGAAATGGACATAATCGGCTAGCAAGAACAAATAGAAGACTTGTTATTACCCATATGAACCTGCTTCATGGGATCTCCAATCACACAGGTTGGGTTACCATCCCTATTTGTTAACAAGTGACAGCCCATTTCCCTCGATGTATAAAAATGACAATATCCGGATTTTCGCGCGCCAAAGGAGATAATTAACTCCTCTTGTCAAAGTTAATAATATTTAATTCATACGGTATTATTGTATACGTCTATACAACAATATCACGTAAAATCATATCATCATTGTATGTCTTTAATACAATGGTTTAGCTCACCAAATACACTTTTGTGATTCCACAATTTTGCTCTATCTTCCGACATTAAGTCGAGTTTCACACAGTTTGTTATTTTTAACAAACTCACTATTATAATATTCATAACGAACATTAAAATTTATTTCTCCAATGTGAAACTCAACATCACTTGTGTGATATTCAACTCAGATGACATCGTTGTATCCCGATAATTAATACAACGGATAACTCTCAATAAACTATATAACATCATTGTATCATTATAATACAATGGATAACTATATCATATAACATCATTGTACTGCTCTAGTACAATGACTATTTCTCAATAAAACATGTCATCGTTGAATCAATTTATTACAACGGATAATCTCAATCAAATGTATGTCATAATTAATGGTATATGAACTATCCCGTTTGGATTTAATATATTGGCTCAATCTTCTGACATTTTATGTCAGGTTTAACATAGTTTGTGGATTTTTAATCACAAATTCACACTTTAAGAATCAAAATAAATTTCTATAAAATCACCAAATATACTTGCCTTATATTCAACCCAATATAGACTGAGTTCCACAGCTATCAACAAATAATAGCATGCATAATAATTCCATATGCTATTTACGAAATTCACCACATACATATTAATGAATACGCAGTATAATATATTTAAATTTGTAGAACTACTACATACGTGCAAAACAGATATTATACGGAGTATGTCATTAGGTTGTATCACTATGAGCAAGCCAAAAATATTTAAGAACCCCCACATTTTATATATTTAAGAATTAGGCTCATATATATTTCACATATGAAAGAAAGGGCACAAAATATAGTCATCCAAAACAACTAACCAGGCCGCATGCATGCAAATAGAATTCTTACCTCACCAATTAAAACCAATTAAAAGTATGACCAATTAACGAGTTCTTCTAACAAATCAATCAAGCAAATATCATGAATGCTGATTTACGTAACATGCATTCAAATTAAGCTTTACCGATGCAGCTTTCAATTTTTCAACAAGCACAATTATTTACTTACTACCAAAATTAAAACTATATACACCAGTGAACACAATATAATAACAAGAATTTATACATTTTTCAAAGATACTCAGTATGACACGGTAGGCAGTAAAATGATGAAATAATAGCAATTGAGATTACTAACTCAGGTAAACTGGAAAATTCCAACGAATGCGAATAATTAGAAATACTAAACACACAACATTTATTCTCACAATAGCCTTTGCCCATAAAAAAACATCATTTTGAGTTTTTTACCATACCAAATTAGTCCGAATCTTAGCCACATGGAACACGCCATTTAGTGATAAAGTTTTTTCCGATGTGAGTTTACGATTTGAGTCCGCTAGGTACTCTAGCTTTTCGTCATCTCCTATATATAGCGATATAGAAGGTAAATGCATTTTTGTTTTTACAAATGTGTTTGGTAGCCGAGAGTCTACCTTCCACTCATTCGCATCATTAATTTTTTCAACTTTGACAAACAACCACAATAAATTATCATCACTTTTACTCAAGTACTTTGGACTTGATTTAAGTGGAGTGTTGTTTTCCATAGTTGTCTTTTTATAACAGGGATTAAACTAAGGCTAATTGCAAGAATAAAGGTAAGTATAAAATTCAACAACTCCCAACACACATACGCATGCAACACTAAAATAGATAAAATGGTTGTTAATAAAATAATTAACAGAAGTACCATATATTCTCCATTTGGGTGCCTCAAAGCGACAGGAGCGCGCATATGTCTTGGAAGAAATTACTCGCTAGCTGGGAGAACAAGCAAAAACAAGCAGCGCTCCATAGGGAAGTGTTGTGTTTCATTCTTGCCAAATACTTTCTTAAGATTGTTGGGGAATTATTCTCGCCACCCGCACGGGCCGACATCTTCCAGCGAACCGCTTCTTCTTCCTTCCTATCCGGAAACTTCCAACGGCAAGTCTGAGTGTGGTTGTCGCCTCTTCTGCTCTCTTCCAGAACTAGGTCCTGCACATGAAAATAACAAGAAGGACAATGACTCGAGACGCATTAGACGCTGTCCTTAAGAAAGTATTTCCGGTGGCCGGAAATCTTTCCCCAGGATATAACGAGCCCATCGGCGAATAGCCGGACACAAAACTACGAGGATAGAAAATTCATTTTGTAATCCAGCGGTGTTTTGTTTTTTAAAGATAATAATATATATGGGGGTGTTTATATACTTCGTATAACTCCATAGAAGAAGAGTAAACAAAATATGTCAAGGAGTATATTAATTAGTATGAGTATACGAAGTATATAAAAGAAGAAAGCTTAAGAGCCTAGCTCCCTTCTATTGCTGCGTTGTAGAAGTTTTATAAGGAAAAGATAGGTTTGTTATTGATCCTAAATAAATGGAGATAAAGAAGCTCAACCAAGTTATGTTGGTCAACAACCATGCACGTTAGAGAGTGAGATAATATCCATTTGGATAATAAAAAGCAAAGATAATTAAAAACTAAAATGCCACCACGTTAAGGAAAGGTTCGGCCAAAATAAATTAAATACGTTATCCATTTACAATTAAATTTGTTTATTTGAAATACACTAATTTTCCAACAATATGTTGGTTTTATTTAAGGACAAAATATTTCACATAAAATATCTGACTTCTACCGCATCAAATAATCAATATGCATAGCAAGGCAAATCGTAATAGGAACTTATTGACCGGTTAAGTACAGACATGCACATTCCACAGTATAGAATATGACTTATCCGCTCGGCTTGTCCAACCTGACAAGGTTACTAAGACCCCAACACCATCGGCTCAAGTCATAATCTGAATCTAATTCCCTGAGAAGTTAACTTGACCGCTGGCTTGTCCAACCTGACGAGGTTACTAAGACCCGAAACACCATCGGCTCAAGTCACAACTCAAAATCTAATTCCCCGAGAAGCTAACTTGACCGCTTGCTTGTCCAACCTGACGAGGTTACTAAGACCCCAAACACCACCGGCTCAAGTCACAACTCAAAACCACGATGTCGTTTTCCAACCCGTACATGGAGCAATTGAATCCAAATGTACGGTCACTTACTATCCACCCCCTGTACTCAAAATTTGGAGTATCCGTAGGTTCCTATTCTACACCCTAGTAGAATAATATTCTTATGCTAATATTCTAGCACATAACAATTTCATCAATTAGGCAATTAAGTAATTAACTAAGCCTACACATATAACTTTAGTTTAGGGTTCATAAGTCCAAATTAGAACCTTTTCTAGAATCCACGACTTCTAAAATCATACCCGTTATTCCTAGATAGGGAATTGCACTCAATATTTAAATCAAATATGTTCTTTTTTTTTTTTCTTTTTGTTTTGGAAAACAACTTTATTAAAAGAGTCTGACGCTGTGGATCCCCGGTGTGAGAGTGAGCCGGAGAGGATCATGATTCTTAGCTTTGCTCCCTTCTTGCTTGTCTTCCGTATACGCCTTTCGCGCCTCAGTTGGTAGGTCTGCAACAGTAAAGAAAACTGGTTGATTGGAGGACAACCGGATGCCTGTTCGGTCGGAAGACGACATTACAGTCACGAGCAGACAATCATATACTTAATCAAATATGTTCAAGGATGTATACTTAATCACGAGCTTACAGTCGTAAATCTCATTTGGGATATAATATTTCAATAAATCATAATCTACTCGTAGTATTTAACTATAATTATAATGGTGTTCAATATTTGATAGTCACCAACACAAATATCTATCGCCTAAATATATACGTAGTATTATTAAACGATATATATACATTATTAGTATATTACCAAGTAAGATATGATGTCTCATTATTAAAAAGGCCGCAGTTTTCGGCTTTTGGCTTAAAAAACACTTATTTATCAAACACTACCAATTTTTACTTTTCTCGGCTTTCGTGTGAAAAGTGATTTTCCCTTTTCTATTATATAAAAAGCACTTATTTATATACCAAATACTATCAACTTTTACTTTTCAAAATCACTTTTTTCTCAAATACTATCAACTTTTACTACTAATCACTTTTTCCAAATCACTCCAAAAGTGCTTTTTTAAGCATAAGCGGAGAAGCGGTTGCAAACACTCCCTTATTATTCCAAGATAACACTATCATTTATTAATTAGTAACCCAGTACTATCATACCATGTATGCAAACATGTGTATGATATCACAATCAGAGTAGTGTTTCTGTCAGGACCTCCAAAAACGGACCTCCGTACGGACCTCGACGTTTGGGCCTCTCCCCGGTGGAATTTTTTGATGAAAATTTTAGAACATGTTCTTCATCAAGTCTAGTTTACCCATACAAAATTTCAGCTAAAAAGTCCATCGGGAAGGCAGTCAAATTATTTTTTGAAGTTATCCGGGCACTTTATATACATATAAAATGCAGTTAACTTACAAAAATTATTTGACTGCCTTCCCGATGGAATGTTTAGCTGAAATTTGGTATGGGTAAACTAGACTTGATGAAGAACATGCTCAAAAAATTTCATCAAAACATTCCACCGGGAAGGGGACCAAACGCCAAGGTCCGTACGGAGGTCCGTTTTTGGAGGTCCTGACATGAACTTTCCTCATCACAATCATAGTAAGAGGAAACTTTTTAAACCTCACCTTCGAACGTTGGTAAGTGGAAACGGAGTCCAACTCCATGCATATGAACAAAACCTTGCCATGTACACACACTTAGATTTGATCATCACGGTAGAGTGGGGTGCTCGTTTTCTACTGTCACAGGTCAAGAACTCTCAGGATGAGCCACTTGCGGAGCAGGGAGACTACCATCAACAAATTAAAGGCGAATTTCCGACCTTGAAGCGCCATAGTCATGGTTAGCACCCATGAATTGTAATTGTCCAGACCCGTAAGAACTGCTCCAACAAGAACAGAACTAGGACTGTCGGATGAGAGAAGATGATATGGACTCTCGAGATCCATATGGGGATGCCGCCCAGAATCATTGAAAGCACCGTCATGGATGGTGTGGGCTGTAGGAGAAGTACCAGGGGCGGAGCCAGGGCACTGGGTCGATACAAAAAATATTTTTGGGGAAAAATTTACACGGGATTTTTTACATTAAAAATTTAGACATTTTTAAAATTTGGGCTGGGCCAGGGTTGGCCCTCCCCTACCTCCGCCCCGAGAGGTACTGTCATCATCTGAAGAAGAACTCATGGCTAGGACTCTAGGAGCAACAAGATGAAAAAAAGAATTAAAAAACGTGAGTAGCTAGAGGAAGGGATCCTCTTGGTGGAGAGGTGTTAAGACTAGCTGGACGAAAGGAGAGCTTCCTTTTGTGTTAACGAAGAAGTTGATGATGAGTGGTTTAATGGCCGTCGGCCGCCTGCCGCCGGCCGCCGGCTTCAACTCTCTCTTTCTCTCCCGTCCACCCCTCCGATCTCTCTCCCCTCGTTTTCTCTTCTTTTATGCATATGGTTTACTTTGTTTCTTTCTCTTTTATTTCCCATATGATCCGTAAGATCTGAGAGTATATGTGCTTCGTATATCCTGGTGTTTCTCTTCTCTTTAAAATCTTATACTATGTATAGAATTCAATCACGTATGTATAGAATTCACTCACACGTAAGCGAGTGAGTGTGTGAGTGAGTTAATACAATGAGTGTTAGGAAGTAGAAGACTCAAGTGAGCAAGAAAACAATAATCATTGATAAGTCTGCTACCTCAACTCCCTGTTATCAATTAATCAATTACTCCGAGTCACTAAAATACTCTGGACAATCCCCATAGGTTCAAGACTGAATTTATTCAGATCCCGGGTAGAAATCATTGCATCTTGTCCAACAGTGCATGCATAACCCTACCCAAGACCACTCATTTGTCTCCCAAGAGACAAGTGCTTAATCATATTTCACGGGGAACCTCATCTCTCATTACTGTCTCCTTCTGAGGCAAGTGATACTGACTACAGTGGCCTCAGCCCCATGCCACTGGACTTTCATTGATCACGCTGTGTCTAGTTATCTCACTCCCAAATGTTTGAAATTTTTTAGGACACAAACACACTCTTGAGTCAGTTGCAGGTCCAAGTGACCATGCGACAACTTCCATAGGGCTCATCTACTATAGATAGACAAAGAATATAAAACAATAGTTTGAACAGTGACACGAATAACTTATTTCAACATATACCTATTAAGGTAAAAAGAATATTTATACAAACATTTATGGTTTGAACAATTATGCACACACAATATAAACAAACAATTATTGTTTGTACACAAATAAAAACTTTATTTAAATTGTCTGCACACAGACAAAACAAGCTTGTTTAAAAATTATCTGTATACAAACAATTGGTTAAAACTTATCTTTACAAAGACACTTAGAAACAAACTATATTTAGCTGTGACCAAAAAAGAAAGTTTAAATACACCATCATTTTAATACAAGATAATTAACTCTGCAACATAACTAATTACAAAAATGAAGTGTGTAATTATCATTTGCTTTAAATCTCTCATTCTTGACCTTCTAAATCCATTTCATGTCACGATTTGAAATATCACCTGTCTTGCTCCCGATTGAAAAAGAGACATAATTTTCAATCACAGACCTTCAAGATATTAGTATTGGTCACGAAGAGGTAGAAGATGTCCCTGAAGCAGTCACATGGTTAAAGCTCCAGTTAGTTAAAAATTAAATTTAAAAAAAAGAAGTTATATAGAAGACATACACAAGCTATTGGTACTTTACAAGATGCACTCACATAATTGTATGTACACAGACAACTTGACCGACTACACAGACAAATTGAGTGGCGATTTATGAAGAAAATCGATTTTCACACAGACAAAAATAAAAAAATGTCTGTATCACACACTTTATGAAAAATTACGATCTAAAATGTCTGCGATACAAACAAATCTTTATATTTTGTCTGTGAAAATCGATTTAACAGACAAATCTTTATATTTTGTCTGCGATACAGACAAAAATTTAAATGATAAACATCACAAATCTATTTAGTATAACAAGTGTAATAAGTACTAGTATTCAACATCATAACAATATATCATAACAACATATGTGATATACAAAATTAAAAAGGGAACATATATACCCTAAATGCACAAAAAATATGAAATAAAGTATTACCTCATGAATAATATTTGGGAGAGCAAAGTAAATTCAAGTTGTGACTCCTATTTTTCTGACCGGAATTAGATCTGCAAAAAAAGTGAGAGCTTTTGAAATGAAGAAAACATGACAAAAGAAGAAAAAAGATGGAGAAAGGGAGATAAAGAGAGGAAAGAAAAAGAAAAGAGGTAAAAATAGGAAGAGAAAAGAAATGAAGATAACGAGGGAGAAGAAAAGAGGCTGGAGATGTTGGGCGCAGGGAGGGAGAAAAAGGAAAAAGAAAAGAGGAAGACGGAGAAGGAAGTTGGGCAGAGGGAAGGAGAGGGAAAAGGGAAAAGAAAGGAAGGAGGGAGGGGAGGGGTTAATAGGGTGGAAATTAAAAGAAGGGGTTGGGGGGCTTTTTGTGCTGTGTAGAGTGATGTGTACACTGCTGTGTACATAAAGCATTTTCCCACATGGAAATTGTTTCAATTTCAAGCAGTGAGAAACAATTCTGAGTATTTGTTGTTACAATAAGATTTACAACAGTACACTTTTAAACCAAGATTTAGTGTAATCTTCCTTTCCTTTTCTCAATTGTTTGTACAAGAGATCGAGAAATGGGAACCCATTTGCGTTTGTTTTTGGGGGAAATATTAAAAATTTAAATGTCTTTCCGTTGTGAATGAACACATAATCTCATCTATTACGAGAATTCATCATTAAATAGGAATTGATTTTAATTTCAATGATTTACACTAACTTAAATAGGTACATATCAAAGTCACTTTTTTCCATATCATGGACTGCTAGAGCCCGTTTGTTAATACTCAAATCGATTGCATTTGCTGATACTGCTGGAATATATAAGTTTTTTGCTGGAGTGGCTGAATTGCTTGAATTTGCTTATTTATGAATAAGTTATTGATAGAGTATATGGGCCTCGACCCCATGACCCACATACTCATTGGCCCAAAAGACACCAGCGAGAACCCACAAGTCAAAAACGCTTCGGCTGCATGGCAAGTTAAAGGCGTGCATCGCATCGTCCACATAGACGGAATCAACCATCCTCACTTCATAAGACAAGGTTATCGCTGCGGCAAAAAAGCCACGAAGGAGCTCTTCGGCCCCAACAAATGACAATGTAACAGGCCAGTTTATCCACACCAAAATTCACATCTACGGAAAGGAGAACGTATCGCTTCGTCCTAAAAGCACTCCCACGGGGAGCGCATCGGCCAGCATCAAGGTTATGAATCCCCAAGGGCGCTTCGTCTCCATCAAGTGAAGAAACCCCTTCGTCTAAAGACCAAGGCAAAACCCCTTCGGCCACCGAGCACCTTAGGCTCACGCAACGGCCAGCCAGAAAAGAACAAGTACTCCCTTTCGCTTCGGCTTCACCTCAGCTCAGAGAGTGGAGGACTCCTGATAGAGTATATGGGCCTGGACCCCATGACCCACATACTCATTGGCCCAAAAGACACCAGCGAGATACCCGCATCGGCAAAAGGCACGCGACGTCCAAGAAAGAAGACATCACCCGGATTCTTTGGGCGAAGCCCGGAACCCGCATCGTCCATGGACCGCATCGTCCAAGACCGCATCGTCCATGGATCGCATCGTCCGGACTTCGTCCAGGCAGAATGTATTTTTCATTGTATTTACTAAGTATTGTACACAGCCCATTAGTGGCCTTATTTCGCCCAAAGAAGGCATGAATATTGTAATGGGCCTCCTAAGCCCAAGGCTGGGAGCCCAAATCCACATTTTTACCTATAAATAGACCCCAAGGGGCTAATTATGGGGGTTCCAAGTTGAGAAATATAATTACTCACTTTCTCTCTCTAGCTCTCACTTCTCTCTAGAATTAATACTCTATCATTTGGTGCTTTCATAGAAGTGGCCATGGAAGAAGTCCATTGCGGCGTCTGTTCATCACATCAGGGGCCCTTCAGCATGTCGCGCCGCCTCATCGTCCAAGGCTACTTTTGGCCGACGATGGCACGTGACTGTGCAGAAGTCGCCCGCAAATGCAGCGCATGCCAACATTATCAAAGGGCACCTGGCCGGCCGGCCGTCAACTATGCCCCGGTCAGCACTGCCATTCCATTTTCCAGATGGGGCATCGACCTCGTCGGCCCACTACCAAGAGCTGTAGGCAACAACAGATACATCATCGTCGCCATCGACTACTTCACCAAATGGGTCGAGGCCGAACCACTCGCAAGCATCACCGGAGCGCGGTGTCGAAAGTTCGTCTACAAGAACATCCTCACCCGCTTCGGCGTGCCTCAGGAGATCATATCAGACAACGGCACACAGTTTGAGGCCGAACCGTTCCAAAGCCTCCTCCAAGATTGGGGTATCAAACATCATTTCTCCTCCGTTGCCTACCCTCAGGCCAACGGGCAGGTTGAGAACGCCAACAGAACCATCTTGGAGGGGTTAAAGAAGAAGCTTGAGGAAGAAGGCGGGAGCTGGGTCGACGAGCTCCCCAACGTCCTATGGTCCTACCGAACTACTCCAAGGAGGGCCACCGGGGAGACGCCATTCTCTTTGTGCTACGGCTTCGAAGCCAAGGCTCCCACTGAAGTCACCCTCCCCAGCCGACGGGTCACACAATACGACCCCGAAGCCAATGAAGAAGCCACGAAGATTGACTTGCACCTCATCGACGAAAGGCGGGAGATGGCTTACCTTCGGGCGGAGAACTACAGACGCCAAGTCAAATCCTACTACGACGCCAAGGTACGCTCCCGCGAATTCCAAGTGGGGGACTACGTCCTCCGCCGAAGGGAAGCGAGTAAACCAACGGAAGGAGGAAAGCTCGCCGTCAAATTTGAAGGGCCCTACATCATCAGCGCCGTCATCAAAGCCGGCACCTATAGACTAAAGAACCCTAATGGGTCAGATGTACCACGATTGTGGAATGTACACCATCTGGTGAAATTTTACCAATGACTCGAGAAGTGGTGAAGTGGGCAACGTCCCCCACCCCTCGGCTTATTGGTTGAATAAAACACCCTCAGCCTAGCGCCACTTATTGAATAAAGATCATGTTTCAATCCATTCTTTTAAAGGAAAAGCTAAAGATCGCATCGGCCTAAGAAGTTGTTCTCTTCGTCTGATCTGAATGTTTCTGATCTGAATTTTTTAAGTTCTGATCTGATCTGATCTGAATTTTTCTGATCTGATCTGATCTGATCTGAATCTTTCTGATCTGATCTGATCTGATCTGAATCTTTCTGATCTGATCTGATCTGATCTGAATCTATCTGATCTGATCTGAATGTTTCTGATCTGGTCTGATCTGATCTGAATGTTTCTGATCTGATCTGAATCCTTCTGATCTGATCTGAATCTTTCTAATGTGATCTGATTCGATTTCTATGATTATAATTATAATTATAATTATAATTATAATTATAATTATTATTA